TACAATGCCAAAAGATGAACTCCTCAGGATGAAAGGCACTCAGAAGACAACTGGGGAAATGTCGTCTCCTTACTTTCCCATCTGCCTTACTTTTAAGGCAATCTTAATGATGTGGACCTCATCAGATGGAATACAGAGGAATGAGATCAACTACATCTGTGGAAAAAGGCAATAGAGAAACTCGGTATCATCAGTCAAAACAAGGCTAGGAGCTGACTGTGGAACACAGCAACAATTACTCATATGCAAATTCAAGTTCAAACTGATGAAAATTAAAACAAGCGCATGAGAGCCAAAATATGACCTTGATTGCATTCCACCTGAATTTAGAGATCATCTGAAGAATAGATTTGACACATTCATTGAACACCAATAACTGAAGACCAGACAAGTTGTGGGATGACATCAAGTACATAATACATGAAGAAAGCAAAAGGTCATTAAAAACACAGGTAAGGAAGAAAAGACCAAAATGGATGTCAGAAGAGACTCTGAAACTTGCTTTTGAACAGAGAATAGCCAAAGGAAATGGAAGAAATTGATGAAATAAAAAGGCTGAAGAGAAGATTCCAAAGGGCAGCTCAAGAAGATAAAAATGTTATAATGAAATGTGCAAAGACCTAGAGTTAGAAAACCAAAAGGGCAGAACACATTGGCATTTCTGAAGCAGAAAGAACTGAAGAAAAAAAAAAAATCAAGCCTTAAGTTGCAATACTGAAGGATTCTATGGGCAAAATATTGACTGATACAGGAAGCATTAAAATAAGATAGAAGGAATACACAGAGACAACTGGGGACTCACTGTACCAAAAGGAATTGGTCAACCTTCAACTATTTCAGGAGGTAGCATATAATCAAAAACCAATGGTATTGAAGAAAGAAGTCCAATTTGCACTGAAGGAACTGGCAAAAAACAAGATTCCAGGATTCATGGAAATGTTGAGATGTTTCAACAAACAGATATAGCACCAGAGGCACTCACTCATTTATGCCAAGAAATTTGAAAGAAAGCTACTTGGCCAAGCAACTGGAAAATATCCATATTTGTACCCACTCCAAGGAAAGAGGATCCAACAGAATGTGGAAATCATTGAACATTATCATTAATGTCACACCCAAGTAAAATTTTGCAGAAGATAATTCCAAAAGTTACAGTAGTATATTGAGATGGACGCCCAGAAATTCAAGCCAGATTCAGAAGAGGACTTGGAATGAAGGATATCATTGCTGATGTCAGATGGGTCTTGGTTGAAGGCAAAGAATACCAGAAACATGTTCACTAGTGTTTTATTGACTATACAAAGACATTCAACTGTGTGGCTCATAACAAATTATAGATAACATTCTGAAGAACGGGAATTCCAGAATCCTTAATTTTGCTCATGAGAAAGCCATATACATAGACCAAGAGGCTGTTGTTCAAACAGAAAAAGGGTATATTGCATGGTTGAAAATCACGAAGGATGTGCGCTTGGGTGGATCCTTCCACTATACTTTTTCAATCTGTATGCTGGGTAAATAATCTGAGAAGTTGGGCTATATAATAAAGAACATAGCATCAGGACTGGAGAAGACTCACTAACAACCTGTGATACGCAGAAGACACAACCTTGCTTGTTGAAAGTGAAGATGACTTGAAGCACTTACTGATAGAGATCAAAGACTACAGTCTTCAGTAAGGATTACACTTCAACACACAGAAAACAAAAAATCCTCACAACTGGACCAATAAGCAACATCACAATAAATGGAGAAAAGATAGAAGTTGTCAAGGATTTCATTTTATTTGGATCCACAACACCTATGAAAGCAGCAGTCAATAAATCAGTCATTGCTACCCTAAGAGAGTGAATAGCTCGACCTGTGACCTCAGGACCATGGTCATATGGAACACTAACTGTCCCATAAATTGTCTCAACTGTTGTAACATACCACACAAAAACACCGTTCTACATCGCACTTTGGTGAGAAGTGACAAAAGGTCTTAAAAGCTTGCAAGTGACCATCTAAATGCAATGATGGATCTCTCCTCATCCAGAGCAAAGAAGAATGAAGAAAACCAAAGATATGTGGCCCAAGGGACTAGTGGACCATAAAATCCTCTGCCCATATGACCATGAGACCAGAAGACCTAGACAGTGCCTAGCTACCACTGTCAACCACTCAAAAAGGGATCAGTGGAAGAGATCCTGTACAGAGTGGGAGAGCAATGTAGAACAAAACTCAAAATTAAAGAAAACTAAAAAGACCAGGTTTACTGGTCAGACAGAGCCTGGTGAGTCCCCCAAGACTATGGCCCCTAGTTACCCTTCAAGTCTGGAACTGAACTCACTCCTGTGGCTTCCAGCCAAACAACAGACAGGCATATGGGGTAAACATTTACATCAGGTAGATACACTCCTTGGAGAGATCAATTGTGGGAGAACAGAAGGGTAGTGTTTGCTCAGGGAGACAGCTGAGGGTGGTGTTAGAGATAATGCATGGAAGGGAAGGACACAGGGAAGAGGTAACTATAGGGAGGAAGTAGGAAGAGAGCTGTTACATATTGGAGATATGCAGTCAATGTCATGAAACAAAACGTATGAAATGCTGTATGGAAAAATAATTTGCTATAAACTTTCACCCAAATCACAATAAAAATTTTAAAAAAAGAAATCAGACGTCATACTGCACAGAGCTCTGGTGGCATAGTGCCTAAGGCTTTTAACTGCTAACCAGAAGGCTGATGGCTCAAACCTACCAGCCACTCCTTGGAAGGAAGACTGGGTAATCTACTTTCGTAGAGATACTGTTTTGGAAACCCAGGGAGGGGTCGCTATGAGTTGAAATTGACTCAAAGGCAGTGAGTTTTTTGTTTGTTTTTTCCATATTGCACAGGGCAAATCTGTGGCAAAAGACTCCATTAAAGTATAAAAAAGCAAAAATGCCATTTTGAAGACTAAGGCGTGCCTAAACCAAGCCATGGTATTTTCAATCACTAATATGTATGTGAAAGCTGGACAGTAAGTAAGGAAGAAAAGAAGAGCTGATAGTTTTGAATTGCAGTATTGGCAAAGAATCCTGAAAATACCATGGACTGCCAGAATGAACAAATCTGTTTTGGAAGGAGTACAGCCGAAATGGTCCTTAGACACAAGAATGGCCAGACTTCATCTCACCTACTTTGATCATGTTGTTAAAAGGGACGATCACTGAAGACTATCATGATTGGTAGAGGGTCAGTGAAAAACAGTAAGGCCTTCAACGAGATGGATTGACACAGTGGCTGCAATGATGGCCTCGAGCACAGTAAGGGTTGTGAGGATGACGCAGGGCCAGGCAGTGTTTTGTTCTGTTGTACACAGGGTCACTGAGTTCAAGCTGACTCGATAGCACCTGAGAACAAGTAGCAGTCTCAGCTTTTTTTTTTTCTTTCCATTTTTAATTGTACCACACTTTTGCCAATTCTTTTTACAGGTGTACAACTTACTGACAACAATTACATTTATCAGTTGTGCAACCCTACTCTTAATCAAGGTGATTTTTCCATCACCATAAACCCAAAATTAGTACTCCATAAGCAATAACTAACCCTCTCTTACCACCTTCCTCCCACCACTGGTAATCACTAATAAACTTTTGTCTATACCTTTGCATGTTCTTTTTTATATAAGTGAAGTTATACAGTATTTATCCTTTTGTGTATATTAATCTTCACAGCATTCCTACAAATTAGAGTCCACATCTGGTTTACTGATAAGTAAATAAAATTCAGATTAATTAATGAACATATCTAGAACTTCATGTTTTTTCAATGCAGAGCCAAATTTTAAATTCTAAAGAATTTAAAATTCAGTCCACCTTCAAAGTGACTTCAAAGTCACTTATAGAAATATTTTAGTTTCCAGAATCCGTCTTGTGCATGATGAAAATCGAGGTAACTTTTTTCTATTGTCTTCATGAACCTTTCATATACATGTTAAAAAATTATTTTATTTTCAAATTTGCGTGTACGTTATGTAGTTTTTGACATTTAGATATATTTAAAATAGTGAGATAACTCACTTGTTGTCTCCTTTTTTATAGACAGACCCAAGTTTTAATGAATCACTCACTATATTTAGCTGATACACCAAACCAATTCAAGTCACAACCTCAACTGCCAACAGGGATCAGGAAGTGATGTAAATGTGGAAGCAGGATGAATGTAAGATAGTAAAGAATAATGAAAAGCATATTCCGTTCTAAAGGCACTCATTTATTTCTCAATGCCACGATCCAAAAACATACCTGTGGCTGAAACTGGCCAAATTGACTAGGATTTTAATTTTGAAACCTTACTTTGTTTTCATTTTCAAAACATAAATCAACAAATTCAAATTCCATAACTATTTACCAAGTGCCTAAGGCATCTGACTGCTAACCAGAAGGCTGGTGGTTCAACCCAGCTGCCACTCACTGGAAGGAAGATTGGGCAATCTACTTCCATAGCGATACTGCTTTGGAAACCCAAGGAAGGGTCGCTATGAGTCGGATCTGACTCGACAGAAGTGAGTTTGTTTTTTTTGGTTTGAAGTAGGCAGAAGGTACATGATGTTAAGACAATGCTTATAAAATGTTATTGTTGACACAGTTAAGTACATTTGCAGAAACTTGCCTCGTTATACTTAGATGAAATTTCAGTGGATTGGCTAGAACTATACAGAAATTACCGATCAAAAATACAGCCTGACTTAATTTATGATAATCAAAAGGAATACACACTTACACTTATTTCAGGTAAAAAGCATATTTTATTTCTATACATTTACACTGAAATCACGATCACATATATCCCATCAATTTTTATATTTCACCGTCCATATCTCAGGAGATATTCAAAGAGAGATGAATTTGATGAAATGTTCTCAGTAAACCTAGATTACTTCACCTCCAATAAGTTACTTCTTATTCACCATTTGGTAATATTTATTAAATGAATTAGTGCAACACATCATTGAGGTCTTTAAAAGGCAAATACCCTATACATTTGGATTTATCATCCCAATTCCTTGGCACTCAATAATGTAAGTATCTTTAGAGGCATCTTCTTCATCGTCTGATTTCTTCACAGTAAAGTTAGCCTGAAAGCAGGAGGTAATTAGAAAATAATTAATATAAAGAGAGCTAAGGGAAAAGCTCCTAACTCCCACTTAAGTAGGCAAGCAGTTAACATCAAACCCATTTTATTGAAGATGTTACAGAGGTACAAAGATCAAATAATGCATGAAAAATGTAATAGAGAAGATAAAATATTTCATTCTAGAACCATGGTTCTTGTTCAGAGGCACATATACTTATAGAGTTTATTCAAAATATATATTCTAGTACTTGTACAGGGAGTTAGCTCAGAGGGAAAGCATGCATGGGAAAGAAAGACACAGGGAAGAGGTAACTAACTACAGGGAGGAAGTGGGAAGAAAGCTATTACATTGTGGAGGATTGTAGTCAATGTCATGAAACAAAACGTGTATGAACTGCTTTATGGATAATGAATTTGCTCTGTAAACTGTCACCCAAATCACAACTGGGGGGAAAAAAAGTATGTATTTGTATATATATATATGTGTGCGTGTGTATATACACACACATACACACATATATATGCCTGCTTGGGCCCCATTCAATACTGAATCAGAATTCCCCAGAGTATAGCCTAGAAATTAACAAATTTAAAAATTCAGCTGTTGATTGTAATATATCTCCACTTTCTACCCACTAAAAAAAATGGAATCTATTTCTTCTTGCCAATTAAATTCCCTAAATATACTATTCAAAAAGATCTGATTCAGAGAAGGATGGGGTCCAAAACCAAACCAAACCCACTGCCATGGAGTTGGATCTGACTTGCAGCAACCCCTCCTTGGGTTTCCAAGGCAGTATCACTACAGAAGTAGATTGCCCAACCTTCCTTCCGAGGAGTGGCTGGTGGGTTTAAACCGCCAGCCAGAATTCTGGTTAGCAGTCAAATGCCTTAGGCACTACGCCACCAAAGCTCCCTAAGGATGGGGTTAGGGGTATATTAATATCTTCCTTCATTTTTATTGGGCCTAACATTGTGTTTTTCTCTTGTTAACTCAAAGTTTCCTTTGAAATATTTGATGTCTATAAATATATTTTGAGAAAATGATTTTATTTAAAGCAAATGTGTTCATTTTAACAAAACTGAAGTAAAATCAAAACAACTGAATAGGCTGACAGAATTTGTGGCAAAGGGATTTCAAGTATATATTTAGTTTCAGTATTATGTGGCTGTGTACTGACACAGTGGACATTTAAATTTCTTACTGAACGAATAGACACTGACTTCTGAGCTAGACAGCCAAATTATTTATATAGTTTTTTGTGTATGTGTGTTGTATATAAAGTTACAAGCATTATGTAAATATGAAACACAGACAACAGTTACAGAAATAATTTCCATCCTTATATATAAGCCTACTTAAAACTAAAAAATTTAGAATGGGGGGGGGCCTTATCTAGCCCAAATCTCTGATTTTACAGATGAATTATCTGCACTGACACACAGAAAGACGAAGAAGCTTGCCCCAAACTACCCAGTTAGTATGTAACAAATTTGAACAAAAAACCAGAGCTCCTAAATTTCAATGCACAGAGCTTTCCCCTATGTATTCACTTCAAAGAGGATGAGTGTTTACTACATGCAAAGTACTGAATAAAGCGAAGACCACAATGAATAAAATTTAGTCCCTACTATCGTATAGGTTACAACCTGCAAGAGATAGACATGTAATTGCTACAAATACTTATCATAATAATAATAATGATAAAAAAGAATTAAAAAAAAAGTGGCATTCTCTTGACTTCAAATACAATTTGCCTTCAATTCATATCAGCCTTTTCCTACAATTTAAACAAAATCTACTAGGCTTTCCAATAACAAAAAAGATCAGCTATATTATTAAGAGAAGGAAAGTTGGGCAATCCTACATCCGTAGTGATACTGCCTCGGAAACTCAAGGAGGGGTCGCTATGAGTCGGGGCCGACTCGACGGCATATAACAACAACAACAACAACATATTATTAAGAATCACACAAACTGTTAGAAGTAGGGCAACAGTTGCTTTTTGCTCAATATACTTCTATAATGTTTAATTTTTTTAATAGTATGCATTTTAAACAAGCTAATGTAAACATCTTCCTTATAAAATTTTGCATTATAAATTCTTATCATATTATAAAATTACTGTGATAGTTATGGTTGTGTGTCAACTTGGCTTGGCCTCGTTGAGTGGCTGGGCAGCTGGATGTAGTTATTCCCCATGATGAGACTGGTAATTAACTCCATGGTGGACTCTACTGGAGCAGCTGAGTAGCTGCTTTGGGCATGTGGTCTGGTTCCCGTACATAAGAAACAGCTTTGGGAATGGTCTCTAGCTTATGGCACACTTGAACCCTGCATGTAGCCGTGTCATTGTTCAGCAGCCTGCCATGCTGCCCTGCCAATCTTGAGACTTTTAATGGGCTTGAATTAATGGCCTGCCACATGGTTTGGTAATATCAGGACTGTGCCTTTTCACGTGTCGACCTTAGGTTTGTCAGCCTCAGTGGCTAGTAGCTAGCTGGGTGAAGAGATGCCTCTAGCTTCAGTGGGCCAGGAGCAAGAGGGAGAGCTGAAGTCCACAGTTGTGGGGCTTTCACCCAGCCCTAAAGCCTGGCACCTGGAACTTGGACTTCTAACCTCCAAAACTGTAAGAGAATAAACTCCTGTTTGTTAAAGCGATCCCATTTGTGGTATATTCCTGTCAGAGTGACACTGGGTAACCAAAACAATTACATTATAAAGACTAGCAAACTGAAAATAGCTTAATGTTACTGAAAAAGGCAAGAAATGAGCTGTATGCATGTTATGGATTGATCTTGTCGCCAGAATGTGTTCTAAATCCTACCTCTACACCTGTAGGTATAATCCCATTTGAAAATGCGTCATCTTTGTTATGTTACTGAGACAGGATTAGTCTGGTGTGTATCTTGGAATTAAATGAATAAAGAGATTGCGGTGGTTTAAGTTTGTGTCAACTTTGCTGGGCCTGGTTGAGTGGCTGGACAGCTGAATATAGTTATTCCCCATGGTGAGACTGGTAATTAACTCTATGGAGGAATCTATTAGAGTAGCTGAGTAGCTGCTTAGGGTATGTGGTCTGGTTCCCGTACATGAGAAACAGCTTTGGGAATGGTCTCTAGCTTATGGTATGCTTAAATCCGGCACATAGCCGTGTCGTTGTTCAGCAGCCTGTCATCCTCTGCCGACCTTGGAACTTTTAATGGACTTGAATTAATGGCCTGCCGCATGGTTTGGTAACATCAGGGCTGTGCCTTTTTACCTGTCAACCTTGGGCTTGCCAGTCTCAGCAGCCAGTAGCTGTCTCAGTGAAGAAAAGCTTCTAGCCTCAGTGGGCTGGAAGCAGGAGGCAGAGCTGAAGCACAAGGTTGAGGGGCTTTCACCCAGCCCCCAGAGCCTGGCACTTTGAACTCTGTAAGATAATAAACTGTTTGTTCAGCCATCCCATTTGTGGTGTAGTCTTGTCAACGTGGCACCAGGTAAACAGAACAGAGATTACATGCAAAGTTAGCAAGCAAATGTGGGAAGAAAGAAGACAAGCCACATGAAGATCCCCCAGGAGCAGAAGCTCAAACAAACAAGGATCTTCCTCCAAAGAAGGAACACCTTCCCCTGAAGCAGCACCCTGAATTCAGACTTCTAGCCTCCTAAACTGTGAGAAAATATTTTTCTGTTTGTTAAAGTCATCCACTCGTGGTATTTCTGTTATAAACAAAACTCACTGCCATCGAGTCAATTCCGACTCAGTGTCCCTTCCTCGGGTTTCCGAGGCGGTATCTCCACGGAAGTAGATTGCCCAGTATGAAGACTGGGCAAGGACTTGCTGGTGGGTTTGAAATGCCAACTTTTTGGTTAGCAGTAAAATGCCTTAGGCACTACGCCACCAGCACTATATAACTAAGTCAATGCATCAACTATAAATAATGCAAAGAGAAGCAATGTCAAGAAAGGTAGAAAATATATAAATGTTAAGAGTTGTTTTGCTGGTAAGAGGGAATTATGTGTGGGTTTTCCCCTCCACTTTCCAAATTTTCTATAAAGAAATCATATTCATTTTGTTATGAAAATACATATATTAATTATTTTTTTAAAATTAAGAATCCTGTTGGAGAGGTATAAATACAAGCTTAAACAATGTAAAATTCTCTTTCACAAAATAATTTAAAATCTACTCATCTAAATTTAAGATGACTAATGAATGTTGTAATTTCAGCAAATATTCTATGCAGTCTACCAACAGAATCAGAAGAAAATAAAACATTTAAAATTTTATATATTTAGGTTTATAGCCAATTACAAATCCCTTGTGATATGATTTCACAGTTCCCATCGAAACATCTTTACTGACTCTGTCAGTACTATGCAATGATCAGAGAGCACAGGCTTTGAAGTACACTTTCCTGGGTTTGCTCCAAGCCCAGGTCTACCACTGAGCAATTTATAATCTGTATGCCTCCATTTACTCATATATAAAATGAGTATAAAAATAAATAGCCACCGACAATGATTATGCTGAGTAAGATAATTCAGGTTAATTGCTGAGTTTGCCTAGTGCCTGCCACATAAGGAAGTGCTCATTGGTAGTAATTTTGATTACTATTAATAGTTTGTGTTTAAAATTTGACCCAAAATTGGCTAACCAAAAAATCAATTACCTTTGCTAGTTGTTCAGCAAAATGTATAGCCGTCTGTGTGTGGAGTGTAACTGGTCCTGTTTTTATTCTGGAAACTCCATTGGCTAATGCCATGAAAATGATCAGCTACAGAAAAAAAGAACAAAGAAGAAAAATTTCACATACTTAGTAATACTACTGAAGTCCAAAATGAAAATATAACTAGAAAGCAAAAGAGCTAACAATAATGCCTAACTCTTTAGATTTCCAGGAACCCTGAGATGCCAGAATACTTGTGTTACCCAAAGTCTGTGGTATGATACAGAAATACTTAGTAACAGTTTTCAATATGATACAGGTGGATAGATGGGTGGACAGGCTGAATGATTAGGTATTTCTGTGCAGGGGGGAGTGTGCCCATGACCATGTACAGGGTTGGCAGACAGTGTTTCTACAAGTGTATTTGTATGTTCTCTAAGAACTTCCAGGTATATAGTAAAGTTGAGAAGGGACAAGGTTGTAGTCACTTCTTGGCCACAGCTAGCTAACCAGAGGGAGCAAGTAGTTGGACCTGTGGGCTTGGGACCATGGTCACAGAGGACATCAAGCTCAATTGGCATAATATACTACATAAAAACATTGTGCCACATCCTACTTTGGCAAGTAGTGACTGGGATCTTAAAAGTTTCCAAGTGGCCATCTAGAGGCAACAATGGGTCTCTCCTCGCCCAGAGCAAAGAAGAATGAAGAAAACCAAAGATTCATGGAAACAATTAGTCCAAGAGACTGGTACACCATGTGATCCTCAGCCTGTATGACTATGAGACCAGAAGAACTAGATGGTGCCGGCTACCACTGTCAGCCACTCAGAAGGGGATCTATGCAGAAGATCCTGAATGGAGTGGGAAAACAACGTGGAACAAAACTCAAAATCATAAAAAAGAAAAGGCACCAGGTTTGATGGTCTGATAGAGCCTGGAGGAACCACTGAGTCCCTAGCTGCCCTTCTGGAATAGAATCTACTCCTGGGGCTCCCAGCCAAACAAAAGACAGGCATATGAGCTGAACATTTACATTAGGTATATACACTTCTTGGAGAGATCAAGCATGGGAGAATACAAGGGCTATGTATGCATAGGGAGACAGCTCATGGGGCAGGACTGCACAGGAGGGAAGGACACAGGGAAGAGGTGGCTATGGGGAGGAGAGTTGTTGCATTGTGGGAAACTGCAGTCAATGTCATGAGAAAAAGTATATGTGACTGGTGTATGGAAAATGAATTTGCTCTGAAACTTTCACCCAAATCACAATAAAATTTTAAAGATAAATAAATGAAAAATAAAATGACTGTTTAAAGCAAAAGATGGAGCTGAAAGTTAATCTCTGCAAGATGGTATACATAAATTTCTTCTACTCTCTAAAACTGCAACATTTTAAAAAGCACCAGTTCATGAAATGACTGGTACAGAATTACTGGGAGTGAAGAAGTGATCTACGCAAGAAGTTGTTGTTGTTATGTGCCGTCGAGTCAGCCCTAACTCATAGGGACCCCTCCTTGGGTTTCCGAGGCAGTATCACTACGGAAGTAGGATTGCCCAACCTTCCTTCTGAGGAGACTAGAAATAAGAGAAATTGACTTAAGAAACTGTTCAGAAGTCTTAAGGGGTACATTTCTAACTGTACACTCTGCTGGCTTGAGAGCAATGAGATAAAAGTATGGGAGAAAGAAAAACCTATTAAAACAGTGGAATATAAAAATATTCAACAGCAATGATAACTGACAGGGTGACTGGAAGTATTAAGTGAGAGAAGTAAGGAGTTCAGGAGAAGGATCTGGGCTAGTGATATAAATTTGGGAGTAACAGACAGCTGGGACCTAAGCAAACACTCTGAGAATGGACAAAAAACACATGGACTGAAAAAGAAGTATAAAGTGAAAAGACAAAAAAATGTGTAACATATAAAGAAAAATTTAGAAGTTGAAAAGATAAAAAAGAAATAACAAAGGATATTAAAAATATATGAGCAGTGAGATAGGAAGATAATGGAGCTTTAGAAACCAAGTGAAGAAAATGTTTCACAAAGGAAAGAGTCATCAACTGTGCTGAATGTTGTATGTAGGCCAAATAAGATGAGGACTGAAATTTGAGGAATATTAATTCCAGAAAACTTTAAAAAGTGGTTGAAGTAAGAATTGCTAATAAGTGTCTGAAATACAATGATTAAAATCTACATTCAATATAATTAACAAACTTTGAAATCTAACAGACTAGAGTTTGTTGTTGTTTTTTACTGCATGCATTCTCTCTTTATTTTTTTTAATTGTGATTTGGGTGAAGATTAACAGAGCAAATTCACTTTCCATACAGCAGTTCACATATCTTCATCTCATGTCACTGACCAGTTTACCACAATGCAACAGCTCCCCTCCCCCTTTCTCCCCATAGTTACCTCTTCCCAGTGTCCATCCCTCTATATACTCCTGGCACCTGTGTTGTCTCCCTGTGCATAAGAAGTCCATCTTTCTCCCATGATTATTCTCTCCAAGGAGCGTATCTACTTGAGGTAAATGTTCAACTCATATGCCTCTATTTTGTTTGGCTGGAAACCACAGGTGTGGGTTCAATTCCAGACCTGAAGGGCAGCCAGGGGCCATAGTCTCAGTGGTTACACCAGGCTCTATTGGACCAGCAAACCTGGTCCCCCCCCCTTTTTTTTTTTTTCCAAATGATTTTGAATTTTGTTCC